TCAAAAGTCTGCTGGGTTAAACTGCAGCGGCTGTAGAAAGACCCTGTATTGCACCTGAACAACCTCCCTCACAAAAATGTGGAAATCATGTGAGAAAGATTTGTGATGTTCGTATTCCATCTGGGTTATAATACTTGTGCGGTGACTTTCAGATTAGGAAATACAATTAGTCCTTCTGCCTGCAACTTTATATCCACAGAAGACGTGGACTAAATTTGCAGATAGCCTTGAATAAGGAAAGATGCAGCTGCAAGAGATTGGAAGAAAGATATATACAGAAGCTCCCTGAATAACCTTACTGTATTCTTATATCTCTGAAATATTCTTGGGAATGAGCTAAGGCAATTATCTATCTTGTGACTTAGCTTGTGACAATTTGCTTGAAGCAGAGCTACAGAGGATGCTGACTGAGATCAGTAGCTCTGCTTTTCAACTTCTTGTAAATTAATCTTCTGTTGAATGAAAATGTTTGTGAGTTTGTTAGTCAACAGATTCTTAAAAGTAAGATATAGAAACTTCCCAGAAAAAAATATGAACTGCTTAATTTGGAATATATATATATATATATATATACATATATATATACATATACATATATATGTATATATATACATATATGAACATTTTGTATGCATAGTTGCATAAAAAAGGAACTTGTATCTATGAATGCTCGTATTTATTACAAAAACACACAAAAATCTTCAGACTGAAATTACTGCCTACTTCAAACCAAGTTTGAGTATTTATATTTTTTTGCTAAAATTGTTGAAATTTAATTTAAAAGTGGGATTGGTTATGTAGAAGTAAAAATTTCAAGTCTGATATATTTAAGAGGAAATATTTTATAAGTTTCTATCAAAATAAGCATTTCCATGATTCTATGATAGATAGCTGTTCAATATTTAACTTGCTGATGAAGATATTATTGTTTAGTTGATTATTCATCTGTCTTTTCTAAAATGACAATACCTTCTGTCAGCTGTGTGAAGTCTCTTAGAGTTCTCTGACTTAAGTAGTAATAAGGGGAACAGTTAATATGGTAACATTTTATTTGAGTATTTTTACTATTAGTAGTAAATGTACCAAGAACTGTCTTTCTCTTAAAATATTTCAACAATGCAGTAATGAAGCTCTTTAAAATGTGATGGATTAATTCAGGGTGAAAAAAAGAATCTACTCCATAAGGCTCTTCTCTGTGGAAATGTAAATGGATTTTATCCTCTTCAGTATCTGTCCTATCCCCATTCGTGTACTGACTGATAGTATTAGCAGGCTAAATTTTAGCTGTGTTTTGTAATCAAAACCCAAGGGAGGAAAAACATTGAAATTGTGAAGGTTTGGAATGGTTTTTTTTTTTTTTTTTTATAATACAGTAGTATTGACTGAATGATTTTTTTTTACAGTTTTTTCTTCTTTAGTAAACAAAAAGTGATGAAACCTTCACATTCTCTGCTGTGTGTCATATTCTGCTGTTTGTCTCATTTAGAAGATCCAATTCAGATGTACATTTGCTTTTTGCTTTATATTAACTTTAAAGTGCTGGGGAAATAAACCAGCAGTTCAGCATTTTTATGCTGATACGCACCACTAGAGGCCATCATATACCTCCTTAAATATTAGATAAATATGCAAATGATTCTAGAGATAACGTGAATACTCAGTGAATGTAAAAGTCTATATGAAAGAACATGGGGAAAATTCTTAATTGAAGCAGGACTTCATCACAAGTTATTAGTATGAGCATTTCTCAGGCCAATTGTAATTGATTCAAAGCACCCATATTCTCTTCTACATTCCTACAAAACCTTTCAGTACACCACTGAGTATAAATAATAAGTGACATCTGGAAACTGTAACTGTTCCACACAATGTACGGATTTACTAAATCAGGAAACTTGGAAAACAGGGCTGGTTTTAGTATGCTTGCATAAAATATTTTTCCCTCATGTTTCTAATCTGAAAAAGTATGTCATTCTACATCTCACACAGACTTTTGTGAGAGTTGATTGATGAACGGATTTAGTTACTGTTTCAGGTAAATAAGTAATATGCAATCTAATCTCAGTGATTCAGATTCGAGTTGTGGAAATAAATGGTCTTACAGGTAAGGGATAAGAAGTAACAATTTTAATTTCAAAATTTAAAAATTAGCATTCATTTTGCGAAGTCAGAGATGCTACCATAAGACAAAAGTTAAGGGAAAATTATTATTACTATTATTATTTTATTGTTACAATTGATCTGGATTTTATTTACAATAAATCTGTGCTGTGGCATGGCCCTTGTTCAAGAGATTTCTTCTTGTCCTTTGTTTTTCAATTTTGCCTCTGCAGAGAAACCAGCTCTTCAAAGAAACAGACATTTTCTTTATGTACAATATTTACAATTTATCTAAACTTTTAATGTGTGCTTGAGAAGGAAATAATTAAAATAAAAATGTATTACCTGCTAGCTTGGTGGGTGATATTTTTTGAACAAAATTTTGAATGGAGAGAAAAATTACAGATAAATATAAAATACAAGTACTACTAAGTATCTCCACTTGTTTGATAGTATAAGCAGCAGTAATCATACACTTTACACTTTTTTTTTTTTTTAGTAAGACAAAAATAAAATAGCATATATGCACAGGAATGAAATTCACAAGATGTAATAAGTGGTAAAAGAGTTTCCCTTCATTTTTGGGGGGGGGGGAATGGAGGATCGGGGAGTTATTGAGGGAAGGAGATGGAACTTATTTCGTAATTCCAAAAGAAATTATGAATGTATATTTATGCTTCAAAAACAGAATGGAAAACTACTAAAGATTATTACAAATGTTTACTAGGTAACCTAAACGATTAGAAAAAATGTCCTGCACAAGAACAGCTTGAGACAAGATACATATTGTTCCACTAGATCTGAAAAAAATAAAAATAAATAAAAAATTAAATTTTACGAAGCTCAGGATTACTGATGTATCTCTTGATAAAATAAATGAAATTTTACATGCAACTATTCAGATGTAGCAAAGAAGTGATAGATTTTTTCAGGGAGGTTAATGTAACTGTATATTTCAGTGTCGAGTGGCTTCAAAATTGAAGAATAAGAATAGAAAATTTTATAAATGAAATAATTTCACAAATATATACATTTTTTCTCCAGAGAAATTAAAGCTATATTCTATCATATCTTGTTCTTTACCTTACTGTATTCTTTTCCAAATATTTATAATATTGTTCATTTTAAACAGTTCTCCCAGACTGTCATGAAAAACCTGATGTGCCACACACTACTTGGCTTCACCTTCAGATTTTGACTGCTATGAAAAATGAGAGGTTTCTTCCCATGCTCTGTAGTCTGTGGAGAAAGTACATCTATAATCAAGGCCACGTTCCCATTCTGGGGATAAGTAACTTCATAAAACAAATAAAGGTAAGTTTTACAGAAATCTACTAAATTGGGTGTTTAAGAATTTCCATGTCTCGACTACGTACTTTCCAAGAGAATCTATGCATGTTCCCCCCAGACTGAACAGGAATGGAACTGTAGTACAGATGTTTGACTTGGAGGTACTGTAAGAGCACAGAATGCAATGCTTTCTTTCTGGGCTTGTAATCTCAGCCAAGATGGTGCAAGTCTTCTGGACTGAAACTGACAAGTCAGCACTCCTTTCCAATGTATCATCTTAAACACTTGTTAATTTAGAGAGGACTGAACCATCCTTCACTTTATGGTGTAGATGTGATTTTGAACATGTTGCTTTTCATCTTTGTGACTCAATTTCCCACCTGGGACGATGTGATAATAATGCTAATGTGTCTCATTATTGTCTTGTCTATTTAAACTGTAAGCTCTTCAGGGTGAGGACTGTCTCATACCATATGTCTTCACAGAGACTGGCAGAATGAGTCGCTGATTGCATTTGGGGTCTCTTGGTGCTACTATAATTAAAAGAGAGACAATAATATTAAAAAGGAAGAAAAGGGGAAGGTAGGTCTGGTATCAAGAGACTTTGAAATTTTCTAGTTGCAACCCAAAAGCAAGAGAAAGACTTCTCTCTAAGGATAGTTCTTGCTTTTTCAACTTTCTCAACTCCAAATGTCATATTGTTTTTTGAGGAAGTACAGTCAAAGCTTTTCAAGCTGGATAGTCCAGAAGCTAGTGGGTGGTATGCCATTGTAGATGCTAACTGTAAGGGAAGAATTGTTGCTGTGAGCTGCACCAAGGGCTTCAGTTGGAAAACAGATCGAATTTTTAATACAACTTTGCTATAAAATAAGAGCATTGCCTCCTTCCTTGTTAGAAGACAAAAAGATGTTCCTGACAATTTGTACCTACTAGTGGAGTAAGGGAAGATGATGTGAGGGAGGCTGTTTCAGGAGTTGCAAGAGCACATCTGTTACTAAGAGAGCTATATTCTGTCTGAGTTAATGGGGAGAAGTCTTTCACCTTTGGTCTGTGTGGTAGGATAAGAAGACTAATGAAAGTTATTCATGGAGGTGCTAGAAATGAGTACTGAAATATTTTTCCACATACTAATAGCTCCTGCTCTACTTTTGCATTTGTAGTTTCTAAACTCACATTTTATCCAAAAATGTTATGAAGATTTGACTCCAGTACCTGTTTTGTACAGCATCTGAGGACTACTCTACAGGACCAATTCTTTTCCTTCCTTTCAGCACTTAGTCACATATGCTATGTGATTTACACATCACACTTTATATTCCTTACTTAAATCTTCACATTCAACATAGTCTGTCTTATCAATGACAATAAAAGCAAGAAACCTTTCTATGTTACAAGAGTGGCTTTTTTACCTGTTTGTTTTTTTTTTTTTTTTTTTTTTTCTAGAAACTATTTGGTTAGATTTGACTCTTAGAGTTTACAAGAGTGAATTCCATGGATAAACATAAAGTGGGAAGGAAATCAAAGTTGTTTTAAAGGTATTTAGGAATTTCTCTCTACATCCAGTGTTCATCTTGGCACAGAGAGGGCAAAAACACATCACTATTACTTGACTGCACTAATGCAGACTTCAAGACCTGGATGAGAGCACTTCTTGCTCAAGTAAGATGTCTTCTGTTTCTGGCTTATTAACTAGTTATTGCGTGTTTTGTTTTGTTTTTGGTTTTGTTGTTTTTTTGTTTTTTTGTTTTTTTTTTTAACAAACAACAGTAACAAAAATTCTTAGTACCTGAGAGAAAGCTTAATTCAGTAACAAGAATTTAAATGACCTTTCCATTTCTTTTTGCTAGTGTGTTGAGCTTCAGAATTGGAAAGCAATACTTACTGTCTGTCAGCAACTGTAAAAATGTTAGTTATACTTCATTTTATTCTTTAACATTTTGATCCAAGTTTGTGCCATTGCCCTCTCAATTAAGTGAGAATTTTAATTGCAGGATATTTAAAATATTTAGAGAAAAGTTATATTATTGTATGTAACTTTTCCTGTTGACTTAAGTGGAAAATTATTTTTCTAGTGAAACATATATGTTATGTTTAAGAGGGATCTCTAATGGAGGTATGATTCCTTTAAAAGTGAAGTGGCTCTAATCTGTCCATCCTACTTTTAGCAGTGTTTGGGCAAACTGTAATTCTGCATCCTGTAATAACTTTTCAGCACTTTTTCAGGTTGTGGGAGAGTTTACCAAATCTCTTTACTTGTAAGCAGCTGCAGCATTATCCTTGTGATTGTAATTTATTTATCAAATATCGCCATACCTATAGGAATTCATTAGTTTTCATTGTTTCTATTGCATCTATGGATTTTTGAAGGGATAATTTAAAGAAAAAGGCAGGTCTTGCAGTGGTGAAACTCAGTGAGAGTCAGCATTGCAAATGATGTCTGTCTCCATACAATCATGTATTACAGTTCACTTGCTACTTACTCCAGAAACAAAATATTTATATTTCTATTCATTCTAAATGTAATTGATTTCCATTCATCAACCATCCTGTGCCAACCAAAGCATTTTATGATTATTAGTAAATGGCCTCATCATGTGTTCCTTTTTCTATTCTTTCCTAATTATTCCAGAAAGAAAACTTTTTACTTTGGAAACATAGTTACCTCCACTGAACAATGTATCTGAAAAATAAAAGCAAAGACCATGTTGAGAGGAAAGAAGGTAGATCCACTGTATATGAGCTTATAATATCTATCTTTGTATTAACTCTTTGTAAATGGAGTGGTTGTTGAAAGGATAACAACACCTTAGTCATGTTTTTATTCTATATACATATATATACAGGTTAAATACACGTTTTCTTTGGGTGTTTCATGACTATTATTCAGGAATCTTATGCATTTCTATTGTTAGCTAAATATTTACCTTTTATTCATGACCATAGAAGGTTGATTTATTTTATGGCTGCAGAAATTTAGCAAAGCACAATAATAGTACCAAGACCTCACTCTGAATTTTCCTAGTGTCTGAAGGTAGTAAATGATACACAATGGATTTGTTAATGTGTAGCTGCAGAAAGTAGTATCAGTTATTTGCTGATTCCTTTTTTAATAATTTATCTCCTTCACTCCTTTACTCACTATAGATTGCTATAATGAATATACTTTTCAAATAAAAAGTGAAGACCAAATTATTCATAAGATCTAAACAAATACTTAAGGTAATTTACTTTTATGAGAATGTCTATTGATTTCTATAGCACTATTTATTATTCTTAAAGGTGATTATTTTGTTGGTCATGGGCTGTTATCACATAATTCTTATTAAAAGGACCATATTTGTTATGTTTACCTAGTTAGACTTAGTTAAAGTTTAACAGTAAAATTTAGAAGTTTAGCAGGAGAATTCAAATTTCCTTGGCATTTGGAATTCTATGGTTTGTTGGAGATCATCTGTAGAATAAATTTCAATTTTTAAAAAGCTTCTATTATAATGCATGTTTATTTACCCACAACAACCCTCTTTAATATACATAAGAGCTTAATATCATAATTGCTTTTAATGTCTTGGCCAAATGTGAATTAACAAATCCCTTTGGAAAATGTGATTATCTCCATCCTTATTTGTAGGGTGACCTCTCTCTTTGTGGATTCCAAATCACTTCATTATAATCAAGTCCTATGTAGGTAACACTGCTGGGAAAGTTGTTGTGGGTCTCCTATAGTAACAATAAAAATTAGTAATAGCAATCACTAAAGAAAATAGATTGGTTAGCTTGTTATGTAACCAAGGCACTGATGTTGGATAATTCTTTCTACTTTACCATACTACGTCTACTAAGCTTAACTGCTTAGGCTTATATTTTACTGTACGTAATACATTATTTTATACCATACTATATAAAATATACATATCTATTATATAAAATACTTTACCATAATAAACAGACTCTAAAAGCATTTGCATCCTATGAGAAAAAAAGTTCCAGAAAAATCCATATGACGAAATGACAGGGCATGAACAGCTTAGCAAAACTCCATCTTTTGGCTTTGAGCTCATTTGATCAAACTTATTTCAGTAACAAATTCTTGATTATCATAATAGACTTCCACTGATTGACTATGAAGCGAGGATATGACCCTTCGTGGATCAAGAAATCAAAAATTTCCAAAACAAAAATTATGTTAGCATCTTCAATTTCTGTTCTGCTGACTTTCAAACATCCAAGCCAAACCAGCACGAGTAGATCTTTTTGTTTAGAATTGGTATTGGGAGCACAATAATAATAATAATAATAATAGTAATAATATTGCATATATGATAATAGTATCATTTAAAGTGTGTTGTCTTTATGAATTTTTCAGACTGGGCTTTAGTACATTATTACTGTCTTCCCTTTTTCCAACCTGTATGAGCTTTTTGCTCTTGGGAAACCAGGTCTAGCAGATACCCAGAGGAAGATCCAAGGATTTTCCTTGCTGCAAAACTGAAGTTCATTCATAACAAAGGTAAGATATGTGCCTGCAATGAGGTTTTCATGTTGTCTCAGTTGTGTCCAGCCACTAAAAACGTTCAGTGAAAACTACTGAAAACTACGGTTTTGTCACTATTATATTAAGAAGCCACATGCCACATTATTATGCCACACATAATTTTAAAAAAAAAAAAAGAAAAAGAAAAAAAAAGAAAATGACTTGGAAGAGCACTATCTCCTAGGGTCGAAAGCTGTGGTAAGCAAGAATAACGCTAATGTTACCAAAGCAATTTATCCAGAAACCATAGCCATTATCTGAATTCTCAACTTCCCTCACACCCAGAGTTATTGTTCTCTTTTGTTAAGCATGAATCAGATTTTGTTTTTAACCAGAAATCTCAAAGAAGTATTAAATGAAACTTTATTAACAAAATCTCATAAAGTTTTATTCAGAAGTTATGTAGAAAAGCTTTACTATATTCCATTAGGCAGAGAAAATGTTGAAAGGATATAGTTCATGTTCATTTTCCAGCAGTTTCTCTTTTTGTTACAAGACTTTTGCTATTGTCTTCAGTAGGAGGAAAACCAGCCTCTGGTGAAGTGATGTAAAGCTGTGGGTACCACACTCCTGAATCACTAGAAATGTGTTTTATATTAAACTAAATCTGAAGCATGGCATTTCTTATCACATAGGAAATGAAATACATATTAAAAAGGGTAGAAGGATGGTTTTGGCACTGAGTGGTTTCCAGATTTTGGGTGGCTTGCCTCTCCACAATGTGGTGTTAGGATGATGCATGTTGAGCACAGAGGAAAGAAGATGAAGAGCTAGGTACTGAAACATTTGTGTCACCTCTGTTAGCCCCCTTTAAGGTGAATAAAGAGCATAGCTTTCCCCAGCTCAGGTGAAAAAAACCAGTAGTGGGGAGGGTGAGTTCAGTGTCCTTTCTTATGTGTTTTGCTCAGGATTGTATGGAAAGGGAAAGAGGCGGAAAGGATAAAATTTAATGAAACATAGAATGCTTTATCTTCCCTTTTGAAGGATTGGAAACATGGTCTTCGTAAAGTCTTGAAATCACTGGAAGTGCTAAGATCAGTGGGCAAACCTGGCAACTTTGAGGAGCGCTGTGTCTAAGAAATGTATGTTCTGCTGAAATGTGTTAAAGCATGTCTGCCATATACTTCAGTAGTGTATAAAGTACTTGTTTCTTTTTTATAATCAGCTAAGTGCTTTATTCAAAACCCGCAGTCTATTAACTTATAAGTTTTTTGGCAAATATTTATGTATATGCCAAATATTTGGCAAAGATTTTTAAGAAAGAAAAAAATACAGTATTTTTCATTAATTTCCATTTTCCCATAGGTCTGAAGTTACCTACTCTTCTTGACGTCCACAATAAGTATACTTCTATCTCCAGCCTGAAGAGAAGAATGACTTTAGCGCCTGTATTTACCAGAATTCTTTATGTGTTTACTTCGTTGTTACTACTCCTGTACAGAGAAAGGGTGCAGAAAAAAAAAAACAAAAATGCTGTACACAGGCAAAGCAACTCCTGTAGCGTGCTCCTAGAAGTGAGCCTTTGGGATTGAGACCACACTAGAGGAGATATTCAAGATGAACAGAGGTGCTTTCTCCTCTTGTCTGACTTTCGGCAGAAGTAAGACAGAACAAAGATCGGTTTTTAAGAAAATTGAAGAAACTAACAACTTGAATTTAGAAAGAAAGTGATCATCTGTGAACACATCTAAGGAACAAGATAGTAGTGTGTACAGGCACAGAAGACAAGAACTGGGAGAGTATGTTACCCAGGTTTTTGCTGCATAGCAAGTGTCTTAAAGAGAGGTAGCTTGTAAGACTTTGTTATTGAGTACTTAATTTCACAGTTTCTTGCATTTCGTCTTCTATCTAATATCAGATCTGCAAATCTATTTAACAATTATTGGTACTCTGGTTTCCAAAATGGCACAACTCTGACTGCTTTCTTTTCCTTGGAAATTTCGTTTACAGTTTCTCCTTTCTTATGTTCTGTACAGACAACTAGGAAAAAAAAATGAGACGTTCAGTGTTGACTGAAGAATAAACAAAACTTAAGAGATGGATTTCAGAAGTCTCAGCTTGAAATCAATGGGAAATTGTGAGGTTCTTGATAACATATGGGTGTTCTTTATTCTCATTTAATGGAAATCAGTGTGAAAGAAAAGCCTTGGAACAAGTAGTTGACAGTGCTTCATTTTCATATAAATTATTGCTATTGTCAATGGCTCAAGCAGTGATCAAGACAGAATGTTGAAACTGGGAAGACCACCAAAAGAGCTAATAACACTTTTTTATCTGGGAATTGAGATAAGTCATAAGAAGTATAATAGGAAGTAGGTTATAATACAGAGATAAAAAGGAAAAAAAAAATGCTGATATTATTGTTTAAATAAATCAGTGATGTCACTATGGTAGTTACAGTATGATTCTTCGTCCTGATACCTACTAATAACTCCTTGCAACATGTCGCCCAATGTTCTGTCTTTAAATGGTATCATAAGCAGCATGTGTATAAATTCTGTACCCAATGAGAACCATTTATTTTACTAAGTTAAAATGAAAGATTAGATTGTTGTAGCAAGAAGAAGAATTGAGTTAGAGCACTCCTTTTTGTTCAAATGAGAGAAACTGCCTAATAGCACCCTTGAACTATTAGTCTGCAAAGGTTTTCTTTGAAGCTGTACAGAGAAAGAAAAAGCACTCATTCTTGATCTCTCTAAAGTTTTAAATGCTTTTCACATATAAAGGCTCATTGTCATTAGGACAGTAACCTCGTCATATTTCAAATGTGTTATTACAGACAGCTGTGATTTAACAGGTCAGCTGTTACGCAGATGAAAGCTACATAGATGAAAGCTAAGTGGCATTGGTAGGGTTGAAGGTTTAAAGCCTTCGAAGTCCTAAAAAGCAGTTAGAATAGTCAAATAAAACATGCTTAGTGAGACCTGGCTCTTTTTTCCATATATCTTGAGAAAATGTTGGACTACTATACAAGTAGTGCTGCAACATGAAAGTACAAAAAAATCATGTAAGAAATTCTACCTTTCTACTCACATATTTATGATAGGCCATAGATGGTATTCCTTAGCATTAGCTGATAAGGTTTTTGTCTTTTTTCTCTGTTGCCAGCAATTAGAGATGCCTATCATTTTGTTTTAAGTGTATGACCAAACTAGCTTTCAAAAATAAACTATATCATTTAGTATGTAATCAGCTGGGGGATGGGAAGAGCCCATTAAAGTAAATGAACCTCTTGAACTGAAAGAGCCTGGACAGAAGGATTGGGCCTGAAATTTCAAAAATGTTTTCTATTTGTTGATGGAAATTCAGTCCATGGGACAAAATCACTAATAAGCTGATTTTGCTGAAGTTCTTTTCTTAGTGGGAGGAATTTACCACTGCTGAGGAGATTATTTCAATCCAGTACAAATTGTTACTTTTCTTAATTTTTTTCTTCTTTGATAAGCTTTTCTTTTGCCAACCTGTAAAATATGAGGACAAAGAGGAATCTATAATGCTATCATTATTCCAGATGGTTCATAAGAGAAATAATGTTCTCTGAGTTTGTATACCACTTACTGCTACCAGTATTGAGAGCTTTTCAGTTAGGATCAATTCATGCACAAGCAGTATGTGTGATTTGGCACAGCCCCAGTATGAATTTGTAGGATATTTAGAAACTTGTTATGAAATCACTTTCATTACAGGATTCAATTTCTCTACATTACTGAAGTTTAAAGATTTTGTGTTGTCTTTTTTTTTTTTAATTTGCATTCTGATTTGTTTTGTTTTTCAAGGACACATGTTTTTTATGTTTTTATAAAGGCAGATTAATTGTATAAGTGCAGGCTATCACACTTCAGTTTTCAGGACAAATGTCCAAAATTCAGAATAAATTGAGTAATTTGTACTCAGAACAGGAAAGAAGTACTGCATTTCCCTGGATGACTTCTCTTTACCATCTAAAAATAGGCATCTTTTCAGATTATCCATTGATGTTTAATTAACAATGTAATATTATTTTGAGTGATGTTGTTTGAACCACTGTATTGTCTCTTTCCTCTTCCTAGGAAATTATGAATTGTTATTCTGCACCATCTCTGTGGCTGTTTCATCAGAGTACAGACCACTCTCCAAGCTGTTTGAAGAAGAAGAGCTGTGCCCTGATTTTTGCCACTAATGTCATAATATACTTGCTACAATGGGCAATTAAGCTTTACCTTAAAAATACATTCCTAATCCATATATTTATATGAACAGAAGATTAAAAATTTGTAATCACATATTTCCACCACTCATCTCACTAAAAGCAAGCCTTTTAACTAACCAGCAAATTGGCAAATTTTACTATCTTCTTTTTCCAGGAGGTCTTGAATTGATACCTATCCTCCTGGAAAAACTGATGAGACGCTCCTTGGTGTCAAAAAAAGAAACATACAATGCACAGAGCTTGTAACATAGTGTGGATGGAAATTTGATATGTAACATGAATTAGAAGGAAAAAAAGAATGTGAGGAAAGTATTAAAATTTTATTTGAAGTTCTGTAGGTCACTAAGTGCAATACATGCTCCTCACACAGTAGAAATATTTTAAAATGCATCAGACTTGAAAGAGGTGAAGAGAGAACTGTTCACCTTTGATACCAGAGTCATAAGCTGAGGGCACATACCTCTGCAACCTGTAGCACCTATTGGTGTAAGTCTTACTGGGTATGGTTCCTTTTGGTGGAAGCGAAAGGACTTTTTTTTTAGTGCCAGTCCAGCTTGGAAGCGTAATTCCTTTACTTTGCCCTTTGTAAGTTGAAGTGGGGTTTTTCCATGTTATTTCAACTGCCCTGGTCATTGTAGTGGGAAGACATGACATCACTGGGAGCAGTCCTTTAACATGGCAGTAATTACCAGCATCAGGGATGAACTGCAATTCTGCAAAGCACAGCAAGATGCTCAACAGGAGACTATCTGGACTTTAACCATGGTAAGAAAAGCTTTGAGCCTAAGAAGATGGGAAAAAGCATTCTTGATTATTTGATGTGTTGGGTATATTCTGCTTGACATGAAAGTGTTCTTTTCTTTTTAATCACTGGAAATCAACAACTCAATCATGTATTTATTATTCAAATATTCCATGCTGGTTTTTTTAAATTTAATTAATGTATTAAAAAATGATCCTTGCACCACTATTGGCCATGATATACATACATTATGTTCTATGTGTGAAACTAAAAAAGGTAGAAAAATATTCCCTGAAATATTGCACTGTTGAGCTACTGTCTAGAAAGCTATTAAATTGATCTAAATCTTTGGTTATCTAAGAAAGGTCCTAAATAAGTTCAATTCTTGAAAGTGGAATAGCCACTATGCATACTGTGTTTATTTTTCTCTATGAAGGAATTTTGAAAGACTCAACTAACACTATGAAAATATAACTGGTTTTTGAGTAGTTCTAGGGGAAAAAAAAAAACACAAGTATAAAAAAGTGAAAAAGTTCTGTCTCAAGGAAAAAAAAAAAAAAAGAAAATGGAAAACAAGATTTTATTGCTCTAATCTACGAGAATAAGCTATGCTGAAGTTAGTCGGAACTTACTTTACCCTCAAACATGCATTAATATTTCTTAGGAGATTTTATTTCCTTTTTTTGCAACTAGAAATAGTTCTTATTGATGTCACTGATGTCCATCAGAGACTGCGGGTTTTTACGAACTTTTTGTAGTGTTATTTAACATACCTCCTAGATGATTTTTAAGGTCCTTCTTATTCTACTTTGTTATCATTCTGAAATAATGTTAGGATTCTGCAAAAACAATTCAATGAGTTATCAATTCTACAGATACAGTCATGCAGTCAAGAAATAGTTGAGGAGATAAAGCAAAAATAATTAAAAAAAGAAGAAGGTTAAGGACATAAAGAAAAAGATAGGTGGAAATAAACTAGAGTTTAGCATAAGAGTAGTTCTGTGGGGAAAATTTGAGAAATATGTGAGACAACTAGGTAGTTATAGAGTCAGTTTCCTGGGTGCTGAAGATAAACATCTGTAAAGCTCTACCTAGCTATAAGGTGGATATGGAACAGGCTGAAAAGTATTCATTTTACTAATTCATGGTTTTCATGCCCCTGCTGACTTTCTCAAGGAAATTAAAGAGTCTGAGAACTGACATAAATTATGCTTAAACCTTGGGAGTCAACAGATCTAGACTGAAGAGAACTAGCTTTCATCTGGGTAACAATGGATATTTTCACCTTTGATTATCTCGCTGCACCACCCTTTATAAAATGATAGACTTTGCCCAGCTATTGTGACTTCAAATTTTGTAGTCAGACTAGGTCAGTGAAATCTTTTATTCTGATATCTCTTCCATACGAACAGCTCTTTTTTTTTTCTTTTTTTTTTTTCTCCCAGTAAGTATCCAGAGCTGTCTACTCTTACTTGGATTATTCATTCATGGTACTGTATTTCTTACACTCAGTAGTGGCTAAAATAAATATTCTGAAGGTGACTTGTGTGTCTAAATGAAAGCGTGCATCAGATCCTCATAACATTTAGGTATGGAGGTTATGCTGTGCATACCTGTATGGGAACTGCTGAGTTGATTGATCACCTCTGATTGATCACCTGAGGTGGGCAGTGAGTCAGCCAGAGGAGCACAGGTGAAGGCAATTCCTAGACCTATTTAAGAGCTGGCTACCAGTGGGGAAGGATCTCTTCTGGAGATCTGCTCTGCTGGTGTTTTGTGAGTGAGCCCAGGATAGGGGTAAGCCTTCTATTTATTCTTTTTTGTTATCATAGTCTGCTTTGCCTAACTCTCTTGTTTATTTTGTGATTATAACATCTTAATAGTCTTTATACAATACCTAAGAAGCATGTTTTGGGGGAAGAAACAAAAAGGCAGGAGAACAAACCCTAAGCCTTCTTTTTTCTTTCTCTACTTCAGGAACCCTCACGCTTACATTATTCTAGTATTTACAGT